TTTCTCATGGAACAGGTGGTGGATTTGAACCATGTGCCTTTGGGTTGGCAGTTCAATTCTTTACCACTAGGACAAAAGAGCTCCTATAGTCAATGAGAATTCATCATTGATTCTAAAAGGTAAAAAGTGTTATTAATGGTTTGCATAAAAATTCCTTCGAGAAAAAGCATTAAGTTTACATGGAAAAATATCTTGGCAGTATTTAGAACTAGAAGAAGGTGAGCTCCTTCAGGGATTTGGGTACCAATGGATGTTTTTGGATAAAAAGGGAAGTAGAGAATACTTCAGGACTAAAGCAAGGGAGGAAGAAAGGCAGAGGAAAGAAGAGGTAGATCTAGAAAAATGGGATGGATTGTGTTGTATAAGATGAACCCTGGATGGGGCAGAGGTAAAACTCTCAGCTGCTAATTGAAAGGTTTATGATTCAAACCCACCAGCGACTCCATGGGAGAAGGATGCGATGAGGCTGTCTACCTCCCTACTTTCAGCCTTAGAAAAAAGTCAGTTGCAAAAGGATAAATATTATGTAAGACCACTACTATAAAAAGATAGAGAAATCAAACACACAAATAGAATCATTCTGGTAGAGTAGCCAGGGAGGGAATGGTGGGGTAGAGGAGTTTTTGTTGTTGCTGTTATGTGCCATCAGGTCACCTACAACTTACAGTGACCCTAGGTACTACAGCTCTGAAGCCTGCCCGAGCCAGTCTGTCTGATTCTTTCACACCTACTCCCATTACTCCAGTTACTGTGTCAATCCATCTCATCCAGGGTCTTCCTCTGTTGTGCCGTCCCTCTACCCTTCCAAGCAGGATGTCCAAGGACTGATGCCTCCTGGCCACATGATCAAAGTATGTGAGACAGAGCTTCAAAATCCTAATCTCCAAGGAGAAACTTGGTTTTATCCTCTCCAAGACAGACCTATTTGTTCTCCTGGTGGTTCATGGTATGTTCAAGAATCTTCTCCAGCATCACAACTCAAAGGCATCAATTCTTCTAATGTCACCCTTAGTCACTGTCCAACTTTCTGTTGCATAGCAAGTAACTGTGAAGATCATGGCCTGGATTACGCACACCTTAGTCTCTAGACTGACACTGTTGCTTCTTAGTACTCTGGAGAGGTCCCTGATTGCAGATTTTCCCATTGCAATTCATTTTTTTTTTATTTCCTGACTGCTGGTGCCAAGAGTGTTCATTGTGGAGCCAAGCAAGCCGAAATGATTAACAACCTCACTCTCTTCTCCATCTATCATGATGCTGCCAATTGGCCCAGTGGTGAGAATCTTTGTTTTCTTGATGTTGAGCTTCAATCCATATTGAAAACTATAGTCCTTGATTTTCTGCAGCAGGTGCTTCAGGTTCTTCACAGTTTCAACAGGCAAGGCTGTATCATCTACATATCACAAGCCAGAACTAACTTTACAGCAATGGGTTTGTTTTGCTTTGTGTTGTATAAGAAGTCATCTCTTTTTACGATACTGCAAACTGTCTGCAAACATACTAATTTATAAAGAGCCTTTCTGGTGTGCCAGTCACATGCTTTATAAACACAATCATTTATCTTTTACAACAAACTTCTTAGTACAGCACTATTGTTATTGTTGTGTACAAAACAGAACTGACCCATAGCTGACCCTTCAGTGGGTTTTCAGAGGCAGTTAATTGCACGGGAGGAGATTGCCCATCCTTTTCCCCCAAAGGAGCTGGTGACCACATGCTTTGGGGATTTCAGTGCAGCTTCTTGCCACTAGGCTACCAGAACTCTTATTATCACCTCCCCATTTCATAGATGAAAAAACCCGAGAACCTGAGAGACTGAGAATGCTCCGATAACTCTGTGGGCAGATGGGCAGGGAGTCTTCTGGAAGAAGAAAAATTGCAGATGAAGCTTAAAATGGCACAGGGATGCAAGAGAGTGGCCTTTCATGAGAAAAGACTTTGAGGTATACAATCATATCTTTCTCTGGAGCCAAAGAAAATCCAGGATATGAGATTTAATGTGCCCAGAGGAATGGCCCAATTGAGGTGGCCAAGTGGGGAAAATGGCCTTAAGTGTCACCTGTACAGTAGGCACTATAAGAGCCAGGAAACAGTGCTGAAAACAAACATATAAGTAAACACAGACACATACACATACATTATGTCTTCATGAAATCTTGGATTTTAATATGAGAAATAGATTTTAAACAACAGATGTCTAATTATACAGTTATCCTGAAGAGTGCAAGGTTCTTTGAATGAATGTAGTCAGTGGGACTAATCTAGTTAGTAGTCTAAGGAAATGACCTTTAAATGTAGACACAATGTTGGACTTAGCCAGGTGAAGGATGGGCAGAACAGAGTGGAAGGAATGCAAAAGGGGACAGGTGCAAATAGATAGAGGTAGGGAGGGATCAGAGGCACTCAGGAGGCTAGAGGTAGGTGGTGTGAGTTTGGAGAGATATGAGAGGTGATACTGTTGAAGCAACAGGCACAACAGTAAAACTATGGGAAATACACTAGTGCTCTGCTTTGGAATGTCAGTTAAGGCTTTGTCAGGGTGGCAGGAAGCTCAACGCTGAGTTCGAAAAAGAACTCCAAGGAAACCACAGATTCATTAGAGATGGAGAGGCCAAGGACGAGGTAAAAGAAAATAAACAAACAAAAATTAGATAAAAAAAGAAAAAAATAGCGCTCAATATTGATTAATTTTCTAAATATAATGAATGAGAATATATGAAACATAATGTGAATGAAGGATATTGTGAAACATTGTATATGAACTTTATAAGAAAGTCAAGATAAAAACAACAATTTATTTCTTTTAAAAAAGAACTGGTGCATGTTCATACTGCTGCCGTTTCTCACCCATTGCCTCTGTGAATCCTCGTGTGTGTCACCGTAACATATTGTGAATTTCCTTGTATTGTACTTTTATTGTTAGTCTTCTTGCACTGATGATACAACAGAAACAACATTTTTAAATTATTAAAATATTTACTGGCAATAAAAAAAGACTCCTGTAATACTCAAGGAAGGGATGACAAAACCTTTAATGATGTAGAGAGAATAGAGAAGGGCTGGATTTCCACACAGTCCTTGAGAAATAGTGATCAGATTTGGGGGAGAAATATTCTTGTCTGACCCTCTGGTAAGGGTGAGGGAGAGAAAAATTGAATTGAGAACTGTTCACATAGAGGTTATATCAGAATTGTGAGGCAGCCGACTCTGAAAGGGGTGGGGTGGGTGGAAGGGAAAGAGAAAAAAGATAGTGATATAAAGAATAGAAGGATAAAAACTAGGGTTGACATCTTACAGAGCAGAGGCCACAGGCATGGCTTGTTTAATTGAGTGAGTCATCAACATTTCCATGCCAGAGATATTACCTACAAATACTGGTTTCTGCTTTCTTTTGAAAGACAGGAAGATCCAGCAACACAAAGCTATTCCTTACGGTAATGGTAGCCTTGTGCGGCATAGGAGCTGCTCCTTTTCAGAAGAAGCAATATTGATTTCCCTGTAAACCACAGTCCTGCTAGTCTTACTTCATCAGCAAGGGCTGTAAGAGTTAGGACAGGTTTATTTTCAGGCTGGGATAGAACCCAGTGTACACAGGGCTTAGAAGTAGAAGAGAACAACTGAGAGACTGATAAAGCCTTAAGTATAGATTCCTTTGTTGATAGGATTGGAGGCATAAAGATGAAATTTTAGACCCTGAAAGCCCATCATGATGGGCCAGTCCCTGTGCACCTGAGCAAGGACATATGAATCTACATGCACTACAAGTGTACTCATCAGGCGTATAAAGGAGGCAAAGTTTTGCCAACTTCCAATCTAGAACCAAACACCTTGATGGAATGAGCTGCTGGGCCCAGGACTCAGGACCATAGTCAACACTGTTGGTATCAGCAGCCAGGAAATTAAAGGACAAAGTACATTGGGAAAGTCTGCTGTCAGGGACCTCTCCAAAGTACTGAAGAGCAACGATGTCAGCCTGCTCCAGTCCATAGTCTTTGCAATTACCTGCTATGCATCAGAGAGTTGGGAAATGACTAGGGATGATAGAAGGAGAATTGATGCCTTTGAGCTATGGTGCTGGAGAAGAGTATTGAGAATACCATGGACTGCTAGGAAAACAAACAAGTTCGTCCTAGAGAGGATGAGGTGAGGCTGCTCGTTGGAGGCAAGGATTCTGAAGCTTGGTCTGACATACTTTGGACATGTTGCAAAGAGGGATCAGTCATGCTTGAGAGGGACATCATGCTTGAGAGGGTGGAGGGACAGTGCAAGAGAGGAAGTCCCTTGATGAGATGGATTGATTCAGTGACTGGGGTAATCGGGATTGGTGTGTCAGAGGCAGTGCAGTTGGCGAAGGATAGAGTCTGTTTAGGGCTGTTGTACATAGGGTTGCTATGAATCGCAGGCAATTTGATGGCACATAACAATAACAACATATTAGTTATTGACTGAAAATGATTTTTCTCTGTATACTTTACCCAGTTAATGATTTTGGAGGAAAAATCATTAGAGATTTAGAGATGAGAAGGACTATTTAAGGAACCCTGGAATGTGGTGGTTAAGAGCTCAACACCAGCTAAAGGTAGGCATCTCTAACCCACCAGCCCCTCCAAGAAAGAGGGAAGAGACGGTTCACTCCTGTGAAGGTGTACAGCCTTGGAAACCCAATAGGGGAGTTCTACCTTGTTCTAAACAGTCACTCTGAGCTATAACTGGTTTTTAAGGAGGATTTCAGAAAGTAAAGCCTTTTGGTAATGAGACTCTGGGGACAGTGTAGTCTTTAGAAGCCTACAGCAGTTTATTTGGCCATTTATGAAATTCTCCAGGCAGAGGATGATGGTGCACTGTTGCCTGAAGAACATGATGACTTACCTGACTTGTCTGCTGCGGTTTCCTTGTTAGGAAATAGCCTGCTGTCAACCGCCACACTGATGTCATAGAACACCTCATCCTCGTCTCGGTCTGCATCAAACTGGGGAAATTCAAAACAGACAAGTTTAAAAGATCAGAGTATCTACATAAATTCATTCCAAAACATGCACATGCATCTCACAACTGCATCTCTAATGAAGCAGAACACAAAGAAGTAAAGCATTTGAATCTTTAATTTGGATTTTATTTTAAAGCTTAGATCTCATATAAAACTGAGAAGGGTAGTAAAAAACAGCCACTTATGGTTAAGAAAATACAAAGTATGATATAACGTATATATTATATATGATAAATGCATAAATTCAGCTTTGGAAACTATGGTAATAGAAACTTACTTTATGGCTTCTTGGGTCTTAATTTTCTATTTTAAAAAATAAAGCCATGAAAATATACAGTTCTCAGCATAGGGAAGAACAGTTTCTAATTTATTGTTAAAAAAGAAAGCTCCTCTCAAATGGAACAAT